ATATAGGTCTAGTTTTAATCTTTGGCAAGTTGAAACCCAGTTTATTCAGCATTATTTATTAAAGAGGCTCTCTTTACTCTAATGAGGGTGTTTGGGCCCTTTGTCAAAGATGAGGTGGCTGAGTATGTCTGGAGTTGTTTCTGCATTTTCTAATCTGTTCGACTTGTCCTCAGGTCTGTTTCTTTGCCAGTACCATGCTGTTTTTATGACAGGAGCTTTGTAGTATAGTTTCAAGTTGGGGGTTGTGATACCCCTGCCATGTCTCTGTTGCCTAGAATTGCTTTTGCTATTCTAGCTCTCTTCTTGTTTCAAATGAATTTTTGAATTGTTTTCTCACGGTCCTGAAGTATGCTGCTGGAATTTCAATTGGGATTGCATTGAATCTATATAACAGTTTTGAAAGTATGGCCATTTTCACTATGTTGATTCTTCCTACCCAGGGCAAGGGATGTCTTTCCATTTTCTGATATCCTCTTCAATCTTTCTTTTCAGAGTGCTAGAGTTTTCAGAGAAGAGGTCTTTGATTCTTTTTGTTAGGATGATTCTTCAGTATTTGAGTTTTTTTGGATGCAATTGTGAAAGGAATTGATTGCCCTATTTCTCTCTCAGTGAATCTTGTTCGTGTAGAGGAAAGCTATTGATTTTTGTGTGTTGACATTATATCCAGCTACTTTACTGAATTTGGTTATTAAGACTAGAAGACTTTTGGTGGAGTTCTTGGGGTCTTCTATATAAAGTATCACGTCTTCTGAAAATAATGACAATTTGACTTCTTCGTTTCCTATCTTTATTGCTTTTATTTATTTGTCTTGTCTAATTGCTATGGCTAATGTTTCCAAAACTATATTGAACGGGAGTGGTGATAGTGAACATCCTTGTCTTATTCCTGATTTTAGTGTGGAGGATTTCAGTTTTTGCCCACTTAGTATGATATTGGCTGTTGGTTTTTCATAGATGGCTTTTATCAGATTGAGGTAGAGACTATTCCATTTTTTGTAGGGTTTTTATCATAAATGCGTGTTGGATTTTGTTGAATGCTTTTTTGCATCTATTGAGATATGATTTTTGTCCTTGGCTCTATTGATACAGTGTATTACATTTATTGATTTGCATATGTTGAACCATCCATGCATCCCTGGGATGAATCCCACTTGGTCAGGGTGTATGATCTTCTTGATGATCTTCTGCATTCTATTTGCCAGTATTTTATTAAGGATTTTTGCATCTATGTTCATTAGTGAGATTGGCCTATAGTTCTCTTTTTCGGTAGGGTCTTTCTCTGCTTTGGG